TACAGAGAGACTGACCTATGGCTCGGATCAGACACAGCAGCCGTGTCCTTTTACAGTTGAATGTAGTGCAGAGACTGACCTATGGCTCGGATCAGACACAGCAGCCGTGTCCTTTTACAGTTGAATGTAGTGCAGAGACTGACCTATGGCTCGGATCTGACACAGCAGCCGTGTCCTTTTACAGTTGAATGTAGTGCAGAGACTGACCTATGGCTCGGAGCTGACCCAGCAGCTGTGTCCTTTTACAGTTGAATGTAGTGCAGAGACTGACCTATGGCTCGGAGCTGACCCAGCAGCTGTGTCCTCATGCCTATGATCATCTCCATCGTTGCCTGTGACAGGAAATTCTTCTCACAGAAGACCCTTTCCCAGCCATCACTTCGTGCTTTTTGCCATGCCTGGACCAATACAGAAATACAGATATATAGCATACAACTTACTCTACAAGCTTATGAAATCCAAATACACATTAAAGTAATTGTGTATAAGGTACAAAATATGCATTATTCAGACAGCTTTATACAATTCACCAATGGGGTAAGATCTGGACACACAAGTAAAACTGGGCTGTCTGTTGTGAGGAAGAGCGGGCGGGGCGGCCCAACCTGGAATGCCCTGAGAAGGGCCATGTGGTCGCTGAAGCTGCCCGAAGCGAAGCGCTTCTGGGACAACATGGCCGCCCTCTTTTGAGATGCCAGAGCGGGCAGGATAAAGGGCTCCCTGTGTGCCAGTGTGCAGGCAATGGTCAGAATAGGGTCCAGGCACTTGAGCACCACAGCACATAGAACCATCTTCCCCAGGTGGGGCTCCACCGGCAGATCAGCCAAATGGTAGCCAAGTTCCGTCAGGTCTTCCCAAGGATCCATAGCGTCGATTGTCTATGGTACAAACACACACAGAAAGAATGGTTTCCTCACCGTTGGAAGGGCACCGTTCCTACAGTAGGTCACTAAACATGCTGTGGCATAGGTCCTTTGGAAGCATTAGCCCAGGGAGCTCACCTTCAGCATCTGCACAGCATTTCTAACCATAATAACAGGTGGAGGTTCTGGGGCTTTGGAGAGAAACTCAGCAATGGAGCAGGATATGGGGGCCAGAAGCTTGGTGTGCAAACACAACTCCTTCAAGACACAAGGAGATCATTAGATGAACTGTTTTCATTAAAACATACTTCCGGTCTTCTTGTTCTAAAACGGCACAGTAGAGATTACTGGTCTATGTTTTGCTTGTGGCCCTGAAGACAGAAATGAATACTTGCATACTTTATATACGCAGGTATGTATTCCTGACCCCCTGGATTTCTGTACCTGCAGAGGCATACGCAGAAGCTGAGGCACTTGGTATTCCAACATGTTGTTGAACCTCAGTCGGCTGAAGAGATGGAAACAAAATCCTAGTCTGCAGCGTCCAGCTCTAGAGCAGAAAAGGGAACAATCTTTGGATGAAAGGTACTCCAGTTACATGCTTCTTAAAGGGAATTACTCTTTTAAAAATGTATATCCCCCAACAGACTATTACAGACGTGGCCAGAAGTATTAGTGCCCTCGCACTTTTTAGAAAAGAATCAGTTTTCAGTAAAATACACTATATTGGACAACTGCCTTTACACACACACTAATCTGAAGGCCACATGAAGTTTGGAGGTCTGTAGCTATTGACTCTGCAGGCAGTGGGCGACTTCTTCACACTGTGTGCCTCACTCAGCTGTTTTGTGCTATTATATGACAGTTTGCAGAATCTTTTCCGCATCAGTTAGGCAGTTACTTGTATTTTTTGTGCGTGTTTTAATGTCCAAGTCTGAAACTGTTATTTTTATTAATCATACTTTTGTATGTTTAAATATGTATATTCTATTCATTTCTCGTTTGCACTACAACCACGTTTTCCATGACAACAGTAAGAACCATAAAAGATACATACAGACCCCTGGAGGGGATTTTTTTTTCTTTTTGTACATTTAAGTAATTTACATTTTTATCTTATTACATATTATTATAAATAATACTATAAGGTTCTCAATAAGTAATTAAAATAAGTGTAAGCTAGACTAAGAGTATGTTACTACCTTCCCTTCCTCTGAAGGGTGCTGGCCTTTGATGTCCACACCATCCTTAGCATGGTCACCTGGTTCAGAGCGTCAAACGATTTCTACAGAAAAACATGTTTGTCACAAATAAAACGCACTGAAAAAAAGACTTAGCCGCAAACTAACATTGTTTTTGAGATGTAGTGCTTTAAATACCTCTTTAACTTTGCCAGAATTAATCACAAAGACAACATCACTGACAGTAATGCTCGTCTCAGCAATGTTGGTTGACAGAATCTGTGGATTAAAAGACGCAGTAAATGACGAAGTGTCGACTCAGTAAATGCAAGTGCTTCTGAGTGTTTCATTCTCTGCATAATCACTGACGTACTATTTTGCGAACACCCGGAGGCATGCTTTTCAGAACTTTCTTCTGGTCAGAGGTTTGCATGTTTGAATGTAGAGTAAAAACCTGGAACCTAAAAACACAAAGATTATAGATTACTGAAATGTATTCTTTTCTAGGTATAAGGGTCCTAAAGAAATAACTGCATTTAACAGTTCACAGGAAAAGCAATTATGTACCCAAGTGTAATCATTACCTTTGTGAATTATCTGCAAATCGTTTATCATCGTACAAAATACGATCTCGAAGCGATACAATTTCATCATACCCAGGTAGGAAGATCAAAATTGCACCTACACCAGAATGGAGAATAGAAATAAACAAACAAGCAAAAAAGCAAATAAACGTAAATAATATTGTAAACGATTAAGGCTATTTAAATGCTATGTATAATTCTGCAATACATGCTGTATTCAAACTCAAAAATGTCCACCAGCATCACAGATTTAATTGTTTACAAAAAACTCTCTGTAGGCAAATTCTACCCAAAAATGACCATGTCACAGTATCAAAACCCCACACCAGTCAGCAGGTTCTAAGTGGTCAAGCTTCAATCCCTAGGAAAGACACATACCCTCCTCAGAGTTCTGGAAGATATTATGAAGCAGGTGCATGATGAGATCCAGGTCTACCTTCTCATCATCAAAGCTGTGGTGATAAACCTTGAGGAGCTCTTGGTCTTCAGTACTTAGCTCTGTGTTGGCAGCATGGACTAGGGAGGATTCATCCAGTCTTCTCACCTCCTGAGAAGAGCTTTACACAAAGAGCCACATGAGTCAAGTCAACATCAAAGACAATCACGCACGCACACAGAGTGGAGAGGGAGAAGGTGAACAAGTAGGGAAAAAATATTTCAACATTTTACGGTAAACTATACAAAAACAGCCTAAAATAAGGTGGAGAATCAAACAGCATGCTTCCCGAATTTTACAGTTTATCACAATTATTAAAACATAACTATTTGACAGAGCATCCAATAGTTGGTATCTAAACTCACTGGTATGATTCCAGAAGATCCACCACTTCAGCCTGGTTGAAATGTCTAGCCCAGTCCAATGCTGTCCTGTAATTCAAAGGCACATATCACAATGTTAATAAACTAGTATATTCATGGAGCAGAAGGGGATGGGTGTAGTAGCCAAATAATGCAGCAATGGACACTGACAACTAGGGCTGCAACAGCTAATCAATAACACTGATGATAACAGTTTACAACACATTTTGTTATTTAATAGCATTTAATTGTGATTTGCTGCGTGAATTGGGAAAAAAAAAGTACAATCATTAGCAAATTAAATATGGCAGAGATATTGTTTCTGTGCAACTTTAAATGGAAATTCTATACACTGTGTAAAGCTTTTACTACAACTTTGATCTAAGAAACATTTTTTAAATAAAGCTTTTGCACTTTTCTTTAAACCTCCTATTTTGGCCTAATTAATTGATTAGTTGATCATCTGTTCACATGATTAATTGATTATCAAAATAATATTTTTTTTCTGCCCTGACAAAAAATATTAGCGCCAGATACAAACATTTTGCACGCTTCAGTTATAAGTAAATAAGCTAAAACTACAGTGGCTGTGGGTAGTTCTATAAATGTTGAAATATTCATACAGCTTAAATGTAGAAAGTTACTGACCAGCCATTTGAGGCCTTCATGTTCACATCGGCTCCCATACTTAACAGCTGCTCAGTCTGACTGAGAAACCCTCTTCCAGCTGCTGTCATCAGAGGGGTCACACTGGTGTCACTGTGTCTGTAGTCAACTGGAGTCAGCAGAGGAGGAAAGAGGAGGGAAACGCATATCAGCGCATCGCGCGTGGCACACGGAACCTCTCCTCAGCTATCCACTCCACGTCAACGTCTACGTTTAAAAGCTGCAACCTACCGCTAACATTCTCACTTATGATGAGGTTGAACAGCTGCACAAAAGAATCAGCATCTTGATTGAGAAAAATATCAGCAATACATGCATCCATCTCTTTCACTAGCCAAGGCTCTAAGGATGCAGCATCTTTTTCATTCTAAGGAAATCAAAATGAAAAAAATGCATCATCATCATCATCAATATGTAGACATCCCATAATTATCATTCTGGCTCTTTTTAATAACTAGAATTACCAGCTGGCAGAAGATGCTGTCCCCTCCTTCCAGCAGGGCACTCTCCTGTAGGACACATGCTGCCGCCTTTGCCCTCTGTTGTTCTGGCCTCGAGCGCCCATCTTGAGCCTTGCACCACTCTGTCAGTGAGTTCTGCTGCATTTCCTCTGAGCAACACAGCACAGGAACGCAGTGCCTTGTAACCAACGCAGCAGCAACAGCTAGGAACCTGACAGCTGTCTAAAAGCCTCAGGAAAACCGGAATTCAAATCTCGGGTGATGCCGCGAGGCCGTTTCATGTCCAGAAGTGACTGTTATAATGTTGATTTACCCAATTGAATATTTTTACATGTAGCAGTCCTATATGGTGCTATAGAGGAACCATTATTCATAGTTGAACATTTCATACATGGGAACAAATGGAAACACAGGAGGACAGCAGACAAAAAAAGGGACTGGAAACTTTTGGTCCAAACACTTTTACCAGAAGATGATATGACAATGTTCAAAATTATATAAAATATTGCTCAATGCAGGGTAATGTTCATTAAACAGGAAAGTCTTTAAGTCAGATTCAAAAGTAGCGAATGAAGAGCAGTCATGGGGAGTGACCAAGGAAGAGAATGCCAGCGTTTGGGGGCAGTCGCACTGAATGACCTGCCACCCATAGTGAGAAGTCAGGAGATCACTGAGGTAAGGGGGTGTGAGGCCATGTAGTGTTTTGAAGGTGAACATCAGGATTTGGAATTTGATATGGAACAGAAATAGTAACCGAATAGTAAGTAAGTAATACCTGACAACTCGCAAAAGAATTGTCTTAGCACCGTGGTGTTTAAGGAAGTCATATTAAAAAGACTACTACCAAGCATAACTCAATTAGTATTTAATGGAATCAGCTGGCAGGTATTTGAAGAAGCATAAAGATATTTATTGACTGACAGGCCTTCAGAACTCACGTCTTAAACTGCTGAGAACCCATCTAGAGTGCAGTCGGGGTGAAACTCACCAATATCCAGAATGGAGTGCAAATCCCTTAGGCTATACAAACTAAAATACAAATGGAATGGAGGAAGCAGTTCTAGCTTCTAAAAGAATACTAGATGAATTTATAAAGCTGCATACTGTAACATTGTCTGGGTCAAATCATAGGCTTCAATATGGAGAGTGCATATCACAAGACAAAGAAAATGCAGAAACGTAACATACAACCAAACAAATTATTAAGGGTTTCTCTGAAGTACCTTGAATAGATGGATTTATTAAAAAATCCAAGTACAAAATAAAAAAAATACTTGACAGCCATGAAACATAGGAATACACCAAATTACCTTTTTGCATCTCCTTTCTGTATTTAATCATTTCTTTGTTGGCATATCCAGTTGTCCGTAAGATATCTTCCAGAAAAAGTTCTTTTACTTCAAAGCATCTTCCTTCAACTATTAAAACATAAATGACATGTCAGGTTTAGACAAATTTTACTTGGAAAACATACCTCTAAACAAAAGCTTTAGTTGCAACCGAACCTACTAATGTGTGTGTGTGTGTGTGTGTGTGTGTGTGTGTGTGTGTATGTGTAT